TCCTTATAGATTCTGGATATTAACCCTTTATCTGATATGTCATTTGCAACTATCTTTTCCCATTCCGTTGGTTGCCTATTAATTTTCTGGGTTGTTTCCTTGGCTGTGCAGAAGCTTTTAATCTTGATGAGGTCCCAACAATTTATTTTTGCTCTTGATTCCCTTGCTTTTGGGGATGTGTCAAGTAAGAAGTTGCTGCTCCAGGCTACTTTTTCTACTGCAATAGCCAGCACTGAAGAATGGGGCTTAACTTCATAGACAAATTCTGTCAACATAATCTAATCATTCCTCTTTTCCACCTACTAAAATACAAATAATAAAGAGTACAGAATTCTGTATCTTGGAGAGATTGTGTATTTAGCATTTGAAGATTTCCGAAGTCATGTCACTGTGATGAATCAAACATCATGTCTAGTTTTTATAACCCTGCTAATGCCTTAAACACCTTCAAAACAGGTGATCAAGTAGGATAGAAAGAGATAGGTTAAAGTTCAGGAAAGGCACTAAAGAAAAGATGCATTGCTCTAGTTCAAGATATACATTGCTCCCAAGCTCCTCTAGCTTGCCTGAGACACCACTGAACAAGTTTTTAAAATATTCAACAGCATTTTTAGGTTAAGTTGTTCATTTTTAAATAAATCAATTTTCTATACCTGCTAATGTGTTTAAAAATAATAAAATATGACATTAGTTTTTAATTATAAAAACTGATACAGAACACGAGAGTATCTTCTATTTGAAATAATAAAGGCACCTTGGACTTTAAATTTTAATACTATAACAGTGAATGTAAAGTGGTAATACTTCAATCATAAGAATTTGAGGTATTAGCAAAAGTAGTTTTTATCACATTATCAAAGATCATCAATCTTCCTTCATTATTAAGTGTAGGAATGACTTTACCACTTCTCCAAACAAATGTATATATACTTGTGTTGATTCTTTATCGATGCCGCTATACCTTTTATTCATTCAATGTGCCTTCACTGTTCTGGATCTCCCTGATCTACCTCATTTTTAAGTTGTCATAGTAGAACAAGTGTGTCATTAAACTTATTAACAGGTAAATTACCCGAACCATTAAGTAATTATTCTATTCACATATTTATAACATTGAAGGCAAGTGTATTTTTATTTGTTTTCTACAATAAAAGATCACAATGCCATTACCATTAAAATATTTTCAATCAGTAATATAATAAATGCATAATTTTGAATGAAATATTCCACATCTTACAAACCTTTGCAAGCATTACAAGACAGTGGGGCAGGTTTACTATGCCTACCAAAAGTTTAGTTTCATCAAAATGTATGTGAAAAAATAATTTTCTTTGTTTTTACATTGTGAAAAGCTTATCTACTTCCTCTGCCAAGACCATAATTTTGACATCACTTATTCTATGTTATTAGTTCCTTCTCCCCAACCAATAAAAATTTTTAAAAAGTATAGTTTAGAAAAAAACTTGTTATATGTTGAACTACCATGGGGAGATTATTATATGTTCATTTGTTTAGTTTTAAAAAGAACACTGGATATTGCATCTCTAATGCTTTATTTAGCACAAATTAGTGAAATAAATACATTACTTTGATGAAATATATAAAATAACAGAAGAAATCTAGTAATAAAAAAACTCTAAAACTCAAACATGGTTCATTTTTTAAAATTTAAATCCATGTATTATTCCAAAGTACAAGATATACATGTACTTCCTTATTTGAAAAAGCTCTCTAGAGCCTAGGTACAATGTATCACCACATCCAAGCTTATAATATTGTTTTTAAAAGTTATTTAAGGTTCTCCGCATTAATGCAGGTGCTTGTTCCCACCTGCCAGATGGGAAAAGCCAATATTTCACCGGTCACCGGAAATCATATGGGAGGTTCTTGCCTCAGTAGTGAGAGTAATGAACCCTAAACTACTCCAGGCCTGCCTAATAAATCTTGAAAACATGACCTGAAACAAAATCAACCTGTTTATAAGAGCCTAACCACATCTTCATAATAAACCTGAAGAATATGTATAGGAATATAAAAATATAGAGCACCCAGCACAATAAAATACACAAAATCTATGATCTAACTAAGAGTTACCAAACATGCAAAGAAGCAGGAAAATGAGCCCAAATGAAGCTCACCAACTGAAACCAACCCAGAACAAAGGACAGATGTGAGAATCAGAAGGGGACATCAGAGTCCCCTTCTCTAAAGAGTTATCATAACTTTATTTCATGTGTTCAAATAGTGAACATGAGAGATATAAAAAGATCCCAGTCAAACTTCCAGAGGTGAAAACTACAATGTCTGGGATCAAAAATACCCTGGATGGGAATCATATCAGATTAAACATTGCAGAATAAAAGCATAGTGAACTTGAAGATATAGCAACAAAAATTATTCAAAATAAAATGCAGAGAGAAAATAAAATATAAAAATAAACAAAACATCAGTGAGCTGTGGGAAAACTTCAAGCACCCTAATGAACTTGAAATTAGAATCCCCAAAGGAACAGGAGAGAAAAGGGACACGGAAAAATGTATTTTAAAAACAGACTTTAGATGAAATTTGATGAAATCTATAAAACTATGGGTCCAAAAAGGTTAACAAATGTTAAACACAAGAAGTATGAAGAAAATTACAAGTCACAGCATAATCATACTGCTTATAGTCAATTGTAAGGTGATAATCTTGAAACCAGCCAGAGTGGGGGAAAGACATATTATCTATATAAGAACAAAAGAAGGATACCAATAGATTTCTCATTAGGATCAATGCATAGTAGAACACAGTCCAGCAACTACTTTAACTAACTGAAATTAAAAAACAAAACAAAACAAACAAAAAAACCCCATCAAACTTTAGTTATATCCAGAGCACTTGGTTTTCAAAATCAAGGCATCATAAAGACTTTTTCAGACACACAAAAGTTGAAAGAATTCACACCAGCAAACCCACACTATACCAGCAGCATCTACATAACAGAAGTGTATCAGAAATAGTGACTATGTGAGTATATAAATATATACAACTTTTCCTAATTATTCATTTCTCTTTAATAGATTGACTCTTTGAACAAAAATGATACAATGTATTATGGAATCTTTAGCATATGTACAAGTAAAATGTCTGCCAGCAACAGCACACAAGCCAGGATGGGAGAAATGGAATTATACTACTGTCAGGTTCTCACGTTAAATGTGAAGTGGTAAAATTCACTTGGAGGTAAACTCTGATAAGTTAAGGATTATAAAATGAACCCCAAGGAAACCACCAAAATAATCAGAGAGTTTAATAATAATAATAATAATAATAAGCCCACAACGGAAATAAAATGTAAGACTACTCGATTTATCCAAGAGAAGGCAGACAACGACAAAACTGAGAACAAAGAACAGATGGGAAAAATAGAAAACAAAATAGTAAGATGACAGATTTAAACTCAACCATATCAATAATGACATTAAAATAACTGATGTAAATACTCTTAGTTAAATGGCAGAGGCCGTCAACATCATGTGTCATTTGAGCAATCCAAATTAAAAACACTAGTGCTGGGAAAATAAAAGCCAAACAACAAAGAAACTTGATGATGATGTGGGAGAGTAAAGGAACTCTGCTAAGTGCTGGTGGGAAAGCAAAATGTACAGTCACTTTGGAAACCAGTCTGGCAGTTTCATATAAAGTTAAACATACACTTACAGTATGACCCAGCGATTTCTCTGCTAGATGTTTATCCGAGAGAAATGAAAACTTATGTTCACATAAAAACCTACATGCAAATATTTATGTTGGCTTTATTCATAGATAGATA